TTTGTTTTTTCTATTTTATTTTTGCCTTTTTGGAATTTTAGCATAACATTTTCATTTATATTTACTTTCACAATTATTTATCATAAGTTTAACTAATATGTAATAATAATATAAACATTTAGTCTCCAATTATTAATAAAACCTATATCAATTTTTCTTTTTTTTACCTTGTTCCTTCTGCAAATACCTTTAATGTCAATTTAGAATTACTTGATTGTTTTGACTACAACTACCACTACTGCCAATAATTATAATAATTATAATAATAATAAACTACCTATAAATGTTTGTCTTCCATTTTTTCATCTGGGTTTGGTTGCTGGTCTCTCAGGGATGTCTGAGATGGATCCCCTCACCAGGATCCCGTGTCAACCTGTTCAGGGAGCTTCTCTCATACGATGTAACAGTGCACACACGGAGGAGAGAGCTGATCAGCTACATATGGAGGCACAAGTAAGTGCAACCATCTGTCCCGTTGGTTTTCACTGCTGGATGATGGTATTTCCCATGTTTTAACAAAACAAGTTGACTCAAACGTAGCTTAGGGGTTAAGACGCCGACCATGAAATTAAATACGTCTGAGTCTGACTGGGGGCCTTTGTTGCATCTCTCTTTCCCTAATTTCCTGCCATCTCTCTATTAGTCTTTAATAAAGGCTAAAAATTCCCAATAAATACATGCCCCACATCTCACGTCCTTTACCAGTATTGTATTACAGCAGTATCGGAATCCTTTACATTATTAAAAGTACTAGAAATTTTTCAAAGTAAAAGTACAAAATTCAAATGTACCTCAATAATAATATAAAATTATGCAGCCAACAGCCATTTTCAGTGTTCCAATATTATATATACTATATTATTGGATTACTGATTAATTAAAATGCAAGCAGCAATTTTAATATTCTAGCTGGTCGAGGCACCGCTAAGTACTTTAAATACTTAATGTATAACAACCTATTGTATAATTTTGTGTAATATTTGCAGTGCGGTATAAATCTAAAGTAGGATGAAATATATAGAACTAGTAAAGTTCAAGTACTTTACAATTGTACTGATACAAAACATGAGTGAATGTGCTTAGTAACATTTATAATTATGCTCAAAATGTGACCTAGATATATCACTTTCTCTTAGAGACAATATTTTCAAGAGTTGATGGATGTAGTGGATGTAATGGGTGATATTGTGTGTGCGTGTAGTCAGTGACAGTTTCATTCTTAAACGCTGGTTGTTGTTTTTTTGAAGCCATGTTGTCAAATGTTACCACACAACCATGATTCATCCTACACACAGTTCATGAAAGATTTTTATGCTGTTCTGAGCCTCCCGAAGGCTCGCATTGTGTACACAGTGATGCATTTTACATCTCTGGCAGCAACAGCAACAGTCTCTGTTTGGAATAAATTAAACAATCAGTAGTTATAATGAGCAGCAATATCTGGATGCAACGGCTCGACAAAGACACACAGTGCCGTGTGTCTAAAATTTAAACTTTATCCAAAGAAAAAAAAAAGGGAAAGAGGATGAAAGAGAACATAACAGATATAATAGGTTTGATAGTTTTCCAAGCTGTGAGGTACAGCATGGTACACACATTCATTTTAAACATTTGGGATGAAAACCACCATTTTCACGTACAAACAGACATGAAAAAATTATATTCACAATGGCTCTGTGTTTTTTGTCATGGAGGAAATAATTTAGCTAATGTATAGTTTATGATGTTTTATGGTGGCTTTCATCCCTGCTCTAAATTTGTGTCATGCTGTGAAATTGTGAGTAGTTATTTCTTTTTGGCCCCTGCTGCATACAACAGTCCTTTTTCACAGAAGACATTTTGAAAGACATTTTACTTTCAGTAAAGTGTGTTGATGGATGTTGAGTGGTGTTTGTGGTTGGTGGGGCACTGCTAGCATACTTAACACATGAGCATCTTAACAGAGGAGAGCATTTATGAAATGATGTAATGGGACATGTACGGAGGGTGCCTGATTGACATATTATCCTTTTATTAATTTTGTTGCACCTGGTGGACGGAGAATCACACCTTTTATAATTTTTATTGGTTCATGTAGTTAGGTGACCTCATGTAATGTCTAGCATGGCTCCACCCACCTTCAGCCTGAGCAGAGGTCTTAATAAAAACAGCTGTGTGGGTGTGCAGGCCCACACAAATAAAGTCACTTAGGGCTAACTAACTAGTAACATACTTGTTTTGTTTTTTTGTAGAAAATTTAAATCCTAAATTTGTTAACATCCATGCTTACTTGCTAGCAGTATTTGTCTTTCTTGCCTTTGGTGGTTCACTGTTACATTTCTTGCCACCAGCTGTTGATTAGTAGAATAGTGAAACAGAAAAAACAGTAAATTGCGTCACCCATGTGTGCATGGCACCTACTAAACATAGCACTACTAGTGGTCACAAAATTGAGAGGGTGCCTTTAAATGGAAATTAAATGCCAGTAGAATAAATGCATTGTTTGCTGACATGGGTTTCAAGTAAATTTTTTATTCCCAGCTCGTGAAACCCACTACATTTGTGTTTTATTTCACCTCAAATGGGGAGTCTGTGTGCAGACTTTTCTCCTTTGTGCCCTGCAGTGCAGTTTTTTGTCTTGCACCTGAATATTTTTAACTGGATGTTTATATATTTTGAACGGAACATTTTTACCCACACTTGAACCTTCTCATTAAAACTTTACTAGCCAGTACCATAGTAGACAGCACTAGAGGTGAATAGGTCCCACCCACCTTTGGCTACAAAAACTTTTAAGAAGAGGATACCTTCCTGAGTCAACCAGAGCAGGGGCTGAAGATGACTAACCAGCAGATAATCCGGCAACTGACACAGGATCAGAACAGACAATGACTTCGATGATCAGCACACCTGAAGATTCAACAGCTGCAGCAGGACACAAACTCTAGAGTTGCATATGTGGCTGGGCAAAGGTTACTTTCACTACAGGCCTGAAAATATATCAGGGCAAGGCTGTGTGCCTGAAGAAAGGGTAACAGGGGCCTTGTACCGAGAGCTACTTTCTGAGAAGCAGGTCGAGTCAATTGACTCAAGTTCAACAGGACAAAATGCAAAGTCTGCTGGACATCAATGCCCCCGTCCAAGTGGAGGAAGAACAAGGCACACAAAAGCAAGCTTAACCCAGAGCCAATGCTGAAATGCTGTTCCTGGAGTGGCCTCTTGAGGCTGGCTCCACCAGCGAATCAATCTCTAAAAGCCCCCATATAAAAATGCCCAACTTTACAGCAGAAATAAACATGTTTACACCCTGGTACAAACATTGTACTTATCATAACAACTGTACCAGGGATGAAGTTTTTATAGACCTCACCCGTTTGAATTATATTGAGGCTTATAGTTATGCATAATTAAGGGCTTGGCCGCTTTGAGTGACAGGTGGTTGACGTCACAGGTAGCTGGTTTCAGCTGCCTCAGCTCCACCCATGCTCCACCTATTTGACCATTTTTGGAATAGCTGGTAGCTGGTGGTGTCTGGACTGCCAAGATGGTAACAGCCAGAGCCGACCACAATGAACTTCACACTTGCTCTTCAGAAACCTATGGGTGACGTCAGGGAGACTTGGCCATTTTCACTTGTACAGTCTATGGGGCTCGCACACCAGCGCGGAAAAAGGCTACTCCATCATTTGAAGACGCATCCTTGTGGTGGAAGAGATACAGCGCCAGGAGGAGGCAACTAGGTACAGAAAGGAAAGACAAGGGCAGTGGACGAGATTGGTGGGATTGGAGAGAAGATCTCCTGGAAAAGCTGTGCGAAAATGGCTGGAAAATCAGTAGATTGATGCCCTTGTGCCCCCTTCATCCCACTGTCAAACAACAGCATTTGTCCAGGAAGGTGAGGATCAAACCAGACGCATCAGATCAAGGCCAGATACTGGGCAGCTTGGTGGGGCACGCAATCAGAAGATGGTGGCAGACTTAGGCCAGATGCTCAGTTTCTCAGCTGTGATCAAGTCAACCAACGTCAGACCAGATCTTGTGCTATGGTCAAGCTAACTCCACCTTGTTTGCGTTATGAAGCTTACAGTGCCCTGGGAGGATGCATGAATGAGGCCTATGAGCGCAAGAAACTGAGGTATGCTGAGCATGCAGCAAACGCTCAACAAGGTGGTTGAAAGTAAAGGTCCGACCAGTTCATAGCCACATCAACATCAAGGCTACTCCGGGGGATGGGAGTTCAGGGCAAAGCCTACTGGCAAGAAGTCAGAGTTCTCCAGTGCTGTTGAAAAGGGCAGTCAGAGGAAGATAAAGGTGTCTACCTGCGAACTACAGGGGAGCTTGACTCCTCTTACTAACACATGGGATTACCTGAAAACAAGACCTGGGTTTATGTGTAAAATTAGGCTAGGGTTAGGGTCATATCGATGTGTGATTCTGCATGAGGGTGATTGATCCATTTAATAAAGATACCAGCATGCGTGCTATCTACACATCACCATCGAAGCGTGCTGGCGCAATATCATAAACTCACTTTAACGCAAGATCAGGAAAAAAAACTCATCAAATCAGCATTTTTCATTCATTATTAATTTCTCTGTTTTGTAGTCAGCATACTGTGAGTCACAGTCAGTCCTCTCTTTGAGGCACGTTCATTTCAGAAAGACAAGCAAAAAAAAACCCAAACAAGAAAAGAGAGGTGGAATTGGGAGTGACTCGTTTTATCTCGCCCTCCACTTCCTGCACCATCATGCATGCATCATTTACACTCCCACAGCAGATGGTCATGTTGCAGTTTTGTCATGATGCATGTTGACACAGCTAGCTCCTTTTAATCCTTGTGTTTAGTTGGAGGTCATATCACTCTGATGCTTCCAACATGATTTTTCCTCTGACACGTCGTGAATCTGACTTGTTCCAGGGAGCAGATATTGTCTTGTTGTCATGCTCATTTCTTTGCATCTTTGTTTGACCCTCTCTCTTCTCTCCACACACAGAATCAGATGCAGCATGACAGAATCAACCACAGCTCCACAGGCTTTAACAGTGAGCTCTGCTTTACAGATAATCTCAAATTGTGTGTTGTGTATGTTTGTGTTTGATGGATAGTGATGATGACAGGTAATCAGGTTGTCCTTCATTTTTCCTTCGTAGGCTTGGAGTCTAAGACAGAGGTCAGCGTGTCGTCCTGCCTGCTCACGCCCACTGCCTCCCCAAGAGATTCCGGCGTGTCTGAAGAACGAGGGATAAACGGTGGAGTTAGCAGTGGAGGGTGAGTACAGCAGAGATAATGAACATAATATTCATTGGCTTTGGTGGTGTCTGCTCCTCTGTTGCTTGCTTTTCTGGATATGTTACAAAGTCCATTTTCCTTCTTGTAGTAAAAACAAAGCACGAAGTGAGGAGGCACCACTGAATAGTTTTTAACGTGAAACAGATGCATATGTACAGAGGGGTTGGAGTTCAGTGTGCTGGAGTACAGAGCCAAAAGAAAAGATACTTTCGCACTTCACCTTAGTCTTTCACTGTGAGGTTAATTTGTATCTCTTTAAATCAGCATCAGGCTTTGCATGCTTTCTTTACACTGTGCAGTCCAAGATAACCCTTTTCGAGATTGTATTACCTTAAACCTGCAATAACAGATTCTTCTGGCCATATGGGGCTGTGTTTTAGGTCGATGTGGAGAACTTGGAGCACATCCAGCAGTTACAGAGCAATATTATCATTCATATGGAGTCGTGTTTCTGTCCATGTGAGGAATGTTGGTCCAATATTCACTCTGTTATTCCTCTGTTTCTGGTCTCTGTCAACCCCAGAGGGAATTGTCTGGTGCTCCACTATGTTCACCAGCTAGTTGCTAACTTTGCCTTTCTGCTGTTTGGCTCTGAGAAAGTAGCGCTCTGTGAGTTTTTAGAGCTTTTTTTTTACTCTGTGAGAGCAGTGAGAATAAGAACGTTGTGTGGGAATGACAGCTAAACAATGAGCTGAAACTCACTTTTAGCTCTGTAGTGCTGAGGGGAGCTGCAGATTCAGGTGATAAATAATTATCTGTACGTTCATCACTACCAGCGACCCCATTTCACACTGTCTCATTGTTTTCACATTGTCATTTGATACATTGTTATTAAAATATTGATTGTAGTTGTTTTAAAATAAAGTGAAACAAAGGCTGACTTAATGCAATATTAATCAGAAGGTATTATTTGATACTGATACCTGTTCACACTAACAATGACACAGGGTTCAAGGTTCAATTTGTTCATGCATTAAACATGGAAATCAGAGTGTGTCCACTCTAATGACGTAACACAGATTACCAAAACATAGGAAATAAATACCAGTTAAATAAAACATAGATAAAAACAACACAAAACAGCTCTTACATAATGTTAGTTTACTGCAGGTTTTGTAATGGGCCAACCGCCCTCTTCCTCATCTCTCTAGGTTTATGAAGTCTGAGGGGGCCAGTGGGAGCCCGGTGGACTGGACAGTGTCTGATGTGGTCAGTTATTTCACAGCAGCAGGTTTCCCTGAGCAGGCTGCTGCCTTCAGGACCCAGGTGAGCCTGCAGTCTACTTCAACAGCCACTAGAGGCCACCAGAGACAGGATTAATGGCTGTACTTTAACCTCTCACAGTTGTAACCTATATATCTACCTACCCACACTGCTTTACTCTCTTCATTAGGAAATCGATGGCAAGTCTCTTCTCCTCATGCAGCGTAACGATGTTTTGACTGGCTTGTCAATCAGACTCGGCCCCGCCCTCAAGATCTATGAGCGTCATGTAAAGGTTCTGCAGAAAACGCACTTTGAGGATGACGACTGCTAACGACAGACAAGTGAAATGTACACAAAGACTGTTATGTCTGTATCTACATATAGCTCAAGTTATCATATAAAAATGTATGCATGATATACAATACACTTTTCATCTCATGTCAAACAGCGCGCACATGCACACACACACACACACACACACACGCACACACCTCTGTTTCTGTTCCTTCTGTCCCTCTACGACAGCTCTGGTCCAGAAATGACCCACAGAAATGAGACTGGATTTCCTGGACAGTTAGGCTTTTCTACCAAACAGGGCACAAATGTTTGAGGGAGAAAGTTGACATGCAAGTTCTCTTTTTTTAATGTACAACATTCAAGCACTTTGCAATTTAAACTGTGCAAGATGGTTTGTTTTTAAACTGTTATACTGTAACTTTATGCACATTTTGAAAGAGGTCGTGGCTATTCTGTGTGGAAGTTCATTTTTGGTTCGTTTTTTGAGGCTGTGATGCAAGGTTTTCTCGCTTGTTGGTGTTTGTTTGTCATTGTACACATGCTGTACATGGTTGCGGAGGCTTGACAGAGAACGTTGGTTTGAACAGCAACAAAATAGAAGTTGAACAGATTAAATGCATTCCCAGAAGCTGGAGTGTGGAGATAAAATCCGGTGCAGGGTCCCCGACCTTGTGCAAACGGTCGTTGGTCAAAGCAATAAGCCCCCTAAATGTTTCAGAGGTGGTAGAAACTCATCAGCTTGTAGATCAGCATGTGGTTGATTTTGTGTAGCTTAATATTTCAGATGAAAATCTATTAAATAAATGCATCTGTTCTGGCCTATGCATCGCCACATCAGGGGCCAGTTTCAGAAAGATATACTTTGACTCTGGCTTAGATCAAGTCAGACTTCAGATAGACGAAAAATCATCCATCGCCTAAAGACTAATTTGCAAGGAATTGTGGGTAAATTCATTATTTTTTTAAATGAAACCTTGCTGACGGGGCAACTGCATCACACCACTCAGGTCTGTTCACTCTGGCAGAAAATGTTTTCCCTTTGAAATGATTCAAAGACATTTTACTGGGAAAATTCAGCAAAGAGTGTAACAATACAAAAAAGCCTTTATTGGAATAAACCGTAAACAACAATAAACAACACAGTTCAGACCTGTAGCAGAGCTCAGATGTTGTGGCTTCTTAATTTAACCTCTTCTTAATAACTTGTCAGTCACACCAGTTTAACGACTAAGCTAGCACTAACTGGCAACTGACTACTGTAAACTCTTCTATTTCTTATTAACGAGTTCCACAACATTGTTAGCATTCAACAAATGATGAGCTCTGCTTTCCTCTCTTTTGTTATTTGGTGCCACTGGTTAGCAGTTGTCGCTGATTGTTAGTGTGGAAACATGGCTCAGAGTTAGCCTAGTCGTAGGATGGCCAGCTTTTAGAATAAGTTGGACTAACTTGCATTAGATTAATCTAAGAGCAACATTAAGACCGGACTAACACTACAGAGCAGTCTCAAATATCTTTGTGAAAAAGGCCTCAAGAGTCGGCTGCAGAAATGTTGAAGAAATGTACCAGTTAGCTGAACTGAAATCTGCAGAATGATCGACTCTTAACCAGATGAAATAAATCTTTTTCACAGCAGTCATTTTGACATGAAATAGTAGGGTAATCTCAGGTGTTACCAATGATAGTAAATCATGTTCAGTTCCACTTTCCAGTGAGCCAACATGCACAATAACAACACCCTGACTCTGTTTGACCTGAATGTATAACACCTGTGTTTACCCTACTGTTTCATGCCAAGATGGCTGCAGTGAAAAAGGTCCGTAGAGTGAATATGTAAATATATTCAAGATCAGTCCATTTGATAAATCAGCCTCCATTTGTAAATTATTGATCGAAAATGATCTAACTCAAAGATGTTATCGCAGGGTAAAGCTGAGTCAATCAATCAACTAATCTCATACCACCAGCATTTTTTTAACTGTTTGTACCCGACAAACCTTAGAAACCAAATGCTGTCGAATTCTCACACGTTTCATTCCCAGCTTGACATTCCTGGTTTGGCATCTCCTCTGTGTGCATGCAATTAAAAAAATGATGTCTATGTTTCTATTTAACTTTTTTTAGCATATTGGTTTGTAAATGTTTCTTTGCACATTCAAACCATCTCTACCTCTCTCCCCTCATTATTCGCTTCATTTTCACTTTCTTTGCCACCTCCAATAACTGGTTTTCAGGTCTTTACAGTTAGCAGAAGGTGTACGTTACAGTGCTTGTTGCCACTGTTGGTACTGTGATCGTTTCATTCTCATTAGTTAAATCTGTAGGAGAGGACAGCTGTGTTCAAGTTCAGATTCTCACCAGGGGAATGTACAGTGTGTCTATGCTCTTGTTGCTTGTCTCAAGTTATTTGTTAAACAACAACTTTAGTAATAAAAATTTTAATTAAAACACCACAATGTGTCTGTTCTGAGTGTGTATGAACCCATGTTGCATTTTGTGAAAAGTATAAACAGTGTTAGTGCACCTTTGTATTCATGTGAGTGTGTGTGTGTGT